ATATATCAGGTAAAATAGAAGAAATACGAAGAAGTCTAGGTTTTGCCTCTCAATATTTAGCCTTACATGTGAATAAGTATCTTTCAACAAATCCTTTGCTAAATTTCTATCAATTATGTATTAGATCATTTCTCTCATAACAGAGTAAAGAAAGGCAATGTTTCTTCCTTGGCAAGTATAACAATGTCTCTTTCTCACCCTACAAAATGGTCAATCCATTTTTCTTCCTTTTTTTGAACAGCAGAGGAAGATACCAGTGAAGTTTTGGAAAATAGGAGAAAGCACAAACATAAACAACCTAAAGTTCCTCCAAGGCACACCAAGGAATAATATGGTTTAGCCTCTAATCATTCAATGTGCCAAAGTTGATGCTAAGGGACCAGCAGGTCAACTGTTTCTATCTCAGCAGATGAAAAAGGCATTGATTTCAACATTATTCAAACTCTCCAAAAGGATTTGGGCTCCCTTAGGAAGACACTGACACTATTATTGTTGGATGACAGATCATCCTGGCCTGTCGCGTCACAACCAAAAAGCATATGTCACCAAAAGGCCAAATGGCTTGTAAATGCCTAAGCATCCTGTCAAGGAGGTCATATTGTAGCTCACAGAGGGAGTAATGAGATGGAAGCATGTGCAGAGCAGGTATAATACATGTCAATAAAAGGATAGACACAGTAACCGTCAATGACGCGGATCAGCTGAAAGTCTCCAGGAATCTTTCAATTTGCTTTAGAAGCAGGCCTGTTCTATTATGTCTGCTCCTGACAATAATAAATTAAATATAGTTTCTGGGTAGGTGGGGATATAACACAAGTCTACCTTATGAATTTGGCTATGTAGAAAAAAGTATCCATAAAGGGCACTGAAATAAGATCTAATAGATGTATCTGAGTGTTTGAGAAGAAATGTCATCAGCCACGTAGAAATTCCATGAGAAAAATAAAGTATTGTACAAAAAAGAGAGCAAGTAATAATTTAATAATTATAAGACTATAAGCACTGAATACTGATTGAACCAAACATGTGGCTTAATTATATTGAGAGTATGTGTAGAGGAGTGTGTCAAGGGAAGAGGTAATATATGATATCTAAAATGTCACAATAGGAAATCACAGAGAATGTCCAAAAGCGTAGAAATCTCAAACCAAAGTTAAAGAAGCATAATATTTAAGAGGTCAAGATGGTTGGTTCCGGGAAGTAAGACCAAGGATTGTTTTTTTTTTCTTTTTTCCATTGCATATGTTATAGCAAAGTTTGATATTTTTAATCATATCACTCTAATAAAAGTAAAATTTTTTCAAAATAATAAATAAATGTAACATATGAAATCTTCAAGGGATTAGAGGGAAACATAAAAGGAAATTTACATAATCATAGTGTAGGTAATGACTTACTAAGCATGACACCAAGAGCATAAATCAAAAAGGAAAAGACTAATAGATTTGATTATATAATTTTTAATGCTCTTGAATCTTAAACATATAATAGAATTATAAATAAAATAAAAAGCACTGAAACTGGGAAAATATATGCAACATAGGTGATATACAATAGTTTAATAAACTTGCATATTTAAAGAACTTTACCCATCAATAAGAAAAAGAAACATTCTAAAAGAAAACTATCTAAGGCCATAAATAAGAAACCCACATACAAAAAGAAAGAGGGAAAAAAAGAAAGAAAGGGGGAAGATAGTGGAAAATGCAAATTGTCAGCAATATTGCTTTTAAAAAAAGTACAATTTCTGCAATTAAAGGACTAGACAGAAAGAGATCTGAAAGATGATTGATCACATATCAAGGCAGTAAGTGATGGCTTGTGATTCATTTGGTAGGTTCATGGATGTTCTGTGTCCTTTCCACACTTTGATTATCCATATTTTGTGATTTTCTATAATAATGTGATTTTCAATAATTATTATTTTATTATATATTATATGTATTATTATTATATTATTTTATTAAAATGTCTAGGATATAATAAAAGGTATTCAAAAATAAATAAAATTTCCCCAATGTCCCACCACCTGGAGCTAATAAAAATGTTAGTATATTTTTATTCCATTTTTGCTTTATGCCTGTCTTTAACAAAATTGGACTCATACATTTCTCACTTAACATTACATGATGAACATTTTCTTATGCATTATACTTCAAAAATATAATATTATAGACTGTATGTTGTTGTTGTTGTTATGTGCCGTCAAGTCAAACCCGACTCATAGCAACCCCTCCTTGGGTTTCCCAGGCAATATCACTACGGAAGTAGATTGCCCCATCTTCCTTCCAAGGAGTGGCTGGTGGGTTTGAACCGCCAGCCTTCTGGCAGTCAAGTGCCTTAGCCACTATGCTACCAGAACTCCCATAGACTGTATGATATTCCATTAAATATTGTATCATCAGGTACTAAAGTATAATCTTTCACTAACACACACTTTCATGGCATCCATTTCAAACATGATTAAATTTTTCATACAAATTTGTGAGGAATGCAACCATCATGGATGATCTAAAACCAAAATGAGAACACATAATTGCTATAATTTGGTGTTTTTGGATGAATGGAAGAATCAAAAGTAAATGAATCATCCTCAGTTCAATAAATTATAAACAGCCAACCTAAAAAAAATGAAATTACACTAATTTTCATGGTTTTTATGTCTAAAATGTTGATTCATAGTCTGCTTTTACTTTATGTGTTTACTTTATGTATTTGTTTAATGTAAAAAGTACTTGCTCTTGAGAGAAATCAAATAATACTGAAAAAAAATTAAGTTAAATTCCCCTCCCCTCAAGAGCCAGTATTAAGAGATTTGTGTAGGTCTACTTGTTTCAGGCATATGCAAATCTTCTATCCTTTATACCCACCTACATACTCCCAACACTAACATACATACAAACAGCATGGTACTCTGCAACTTCCTTTTTTCATTTAGCAATACAGTTTGGAGGTTTTTCTACAACAGCATTTATAAATATACTTCATGATTTCACACAGCAGTATAGTATTTCACCGCACAGATGTGGCTTGTTGGGGTTTTTTGTTTGTTTGAAGAGCCCTGCTGGCACAGTGGGTAAGCTCTTGGCTGCTAACCGAAAAGTTGGCAGTTTGATCAAACCCACCAGCCACTCCTCGGAAGGAAGGTTGGGCAATCCTACTTCCGTAGTGATACTGCCTTGGAAACCCAAGGAGGGGTTGCTATGAGTCGGGTTTGACTCGACGGCAAACAACAACAACAACAACAGCGGCTCCATGGGTGTCTGCTACTGTGGTAGTTAAGGTTATGTGTCGCCTTGGCTGGGCCTGGTTTTGAATGGCTGGGCAGCTGGATGTAGTTATTCCCCATGATGAGACTGGTAATCAACTCCATGGTATACTGTGAGCAGCTGAGTAGCTACCTTGGGGGGATGCAGACTGCTTCCTGTATATAAGAAGCACCTTTGGGAACATCTCAAGCTTCTTGGCACATTT